TCAAAGTGGCTCATTGCCTGTAAGGTAGTATGTATGTAGTTTAGGATTTAGGGTTAGGGTTTAGTGCTGAAAAAGGGTTTAGGGATAGTATGTATGTAGGTAGGTAGGTAGGTAGGTAGGTAGGCATGTAGGTAGGTAGGTAGGTAGGTAGGTAGGTAGGTAGGTAGGTAGGTAGGTAGGTAGGTAGGTAGCTATGTATGTATGTATGTATGTATGTATGTATGTATGTATGTATGTAGGGATTTTTGTATAGACATACACGTATATCTCTATGTATGTGTATATATATATATATACATCTGCACAATGTATTTATGCGTGTGAATGTCCATAATGTGGTGCTATTCCTCAAGGGATCCTTACGATATTCACACCTTGATATACTCCAAAATTATGTTGTAATTATACTGATTCGTTACTGCTTCTCAGAAACACAGGTTTAGCTCTAAACCCTAAACCCTTGTACCCTAAACCCTAAACCCTTTTACCCTAAACCCTAAACCCTACCCTAAATGTGAACCCCGGAGAGCTTAGGGTCACCTTCGGCCCATGGAGGTTTCATTTTCGACCTCGTGAACTGTCTCCGCGATCCACTGACGGTCACATCACAGGCGCCCTAGTAAGATGGCCTAGGATCCTTCAAACCCTAGACCCTAGACCCAAAACCTGCCCTCAACTACAGGCTCTTCCTTTTGAGCCCGAAAATTAGAATTAGAGGGACCCTACCCAAAAGCAGGTTTGCATCGTTTAAAGGCATTGGTAAGATGTTGTGATGCGGCACCTTGAGGCTGGGTCCTTGTTGTGGTCGCAGCCCCTGGTGCATCAAGATCATGGCTATAGTGGTGATAGCAAGTCGAACATCCAAGCTTCATAGAACCATTTATAGTAGATTATATTTCAACATCGCTATATGTAGTTATATGTAAACATCAGTATGTAGGGCAGCAGCTGAAGGCCCAGAAGATCCTAAGTAAGAGCCCTCGGTTCCAGCCTTGGAATCTTTGGATGGTGCCGATGGCGATCGCCCTGGAGAATGCAGCGAAGGGGTGCAGCATTCAGACTGAAGATGAGACGGGCGGGTTCTTGGATAACATCGAGTACCGAGGAGGTGGCTACGCCATCCTGAGGGCTTTGTGGGACGCTCATGAGAAGGGTCTTGCACTGCTGTCAGCGAACCAGATTTGTGCGAGGGCAAAGCAGTGGTGCTCCCATCACATGGCAAGTGGCTGGGTTGCTGTTAAGGAGCTTAGCTTAAGTTACCAGATTGGGGATAATATACATATATATATATATGTATATACATATATATATATATATATATGTATATATACATATATATATATATATACAAACATTAGTAAATGATAAAGTTTAAATAACTAAGTGTATATATATATATACAAACATTAGTATATGATAAGGTTTCCTTATTAAAGTAACTTAACTTAAGCTCCTCAACAGCAACCCAGGTGGTCTCTTCGCGGGTTGTCATCGCGGCCTTGGCTGGGATGCCCATGGATCGTTGTTGAAGCACGGGATTCTGAAGAAGCAGAAGCTGAAGGCTCGAAAGCAACGCGATCGTATTGAAGCTCAGTGTGCAACTTTAGGTGTTGTTGTGGTTTTTTCTTTTTGAGAGAGTGCCAGGATCATAACCGCCTCCGCGCTTCCCTTGTGTTTTCAGTGCAGTATAATTAAGGATGTCTTCTGCCTGACCTCAGAGGGCAGTGAGTTGGTGGTGAAGTTGATAGAGATGTCTGCGGATGAGGAGGGGCCGGCGACTCAGGCGACTCAGACCCCCAGAAGGACGAAGAGCCTGAAACGCTGAACCCTAAACCCGATACCCTAAACCCGACGCCCTAAACCGGACACCCTAAACCCTAAACCCCTAAACCCTAAACCCCGAAACCCTAAAATCCTAAACCCCAAACCCCAAAACCCGAAACCCTAAACCCCAAATCCAGAAGGACGAGGAGCCTGGTGCGACATCAGAGCCAGACGCCCCCAAAGCCGGAGAGACATCCAGCAAGTGCCGAGGAGCCACCCATGAAGAAGCCAAAGGTCACAGAGGCTCAAGAAGCTTGGATATAGGGTTTAGGGTTTATAGGGTTTAGGGTTTAGGATATAGGGTTTAGGGTTTAGGCAGCCAGTGGGAGAACTTGAAAATTTTTGGCAAGTTTACGTTTTTGTGAGCCTGGTTAAACCCTAAACCCTACACCGTCCCACATATTTGGTCTATCTCAGCAAGTTTAAGCCTTTGTGGCAGCGGTTACATAAACCCTCAACTCTATAAACTCTGAACCCTAAACTCTACGGTTACGTAAACCCTATACTCCAAAGCCCAAAGCCCTGAGGACAGGAATCTCCAGCTCTTGCGGTGATTACGGTTCCAACCCCTAAAATTTAAAAAAACTCGTAAACCCGAAGCCCTGAAGAAGACGGGAAGCTCTGGCTCTTCCGATGATTGCAGTTCCAACCCGAAACCCTAAACTCCTAAACCCAAAGCCCTGAAGACCCTAAACCCTACAACTCTACAGCCCTAAACCCTAAACCCTAAAACCCTACAGCCCTAAACCCTAAAACCCTAAAGCCCTGAAGACAGGGAGCTCCAGCTGTTCCGATGATTCCCCTCACGACTCTTTGCCGAAGCATGGCTCGCTGCTTCGCTGCCCTCGGCTCACCGATCCCCAAAGAGACTAGGCTCTTGTTTGTTTTGGGTTTCGGGTTTGGGGTTTAGAGTTTAGGGTTTAGGGGCTTAGGGTTTAGGGTTTAGGGAAGTTTAGGGTTTAGGGTTGTTAGGGTTGTTAGGGTTGTTAGGGTTTAGGGTTCAGGGTTTAGGGTTCAGGGTTTTCGGTTTAGGGTTTCGGGTTTAGGGTTCAGAGTTTAGGGTTTAGGGTTTAGGGTTTGGGGTTCAAAGTTTAGGGTTTAGGGTTCAGGGTTTAGGGTTCAGGGTTAAGGGTTCAGGGTTCAGAGTTTAGGGTTCAGGGTTCAGAGTTTAGCGTTCAGGGTTTAGGTTTCAGGGTGTTTGGTTTAGGGTTTGGGGTTTAGGGTTCAGGGTTTAGGGTTCAGGGCTGAGGGTTAGGGTTACTTACTTGTGCTTCTTACGGGGGAGTGGGGAGAGATCCCTATAATTCGATGATATCCCTTATGTAGAAGCCTTAAACAATCACCATGTTTTTTTCCTTGGGGTTCCTCCTTATTCTCATAGTATTCAGGAGCCCCAAAACCCTATTATCGTTTAGGGGTTTAGGGTTTAGGGTTTAGGGCCCCTACAGAGTATGTAATCCCTGCGAACCGAGGCGAGGCTCTACAAGTTGGTGGCCAGTGAGCACGACTGCACCGCAGCTGCCTTCAGCAAGCAGCTCTCAAGGCTCGAGGAGTTGAACAAGCTCTTCATTGCCGAGGATGATGTGCACCTGGTGTAGGTTTTAGGGTTTGGGGTTTAGGGTTGAGGGTTTAGGGGTGCACCTGGTGTAGGTCTTTGGTTTTTTTGGGGTAGACCGGCGCTGGTCTGAAAGCGGGGACAAGGGGAGACTGACAAAAAGCGAGCTCCTCCTGCGTGTCTAAAGCTTTGCAGGGCCCGGGTTCCGCGAAGGCATATTTGTGGGGTTTAGGGTTTAGGGGTTGCCTGCAAGGCAAATCCTAGTACCTAGGGCCTGCCTGACGCTCGCTCATTTTCTGGCATCTCGGTGTAGACACAGCTGTAAAGATGCCCATGAACACCCTTCAGGAGGGAGAGAAGCCTAAGCCCTAAGCCCTAAACCCTTAAAAACTCTAAACCCTACAACAAAGCCTGGAGGAAAGCCATACCTCGCACGCTAAAGGCACAGCACCCAAGACCAATCTGGAAGTATAGGAATAATGATTGATATAATGCTAACGATCTACTCTAACAATACCATATAACGTGCGATATGAATACTGTAGTAGTGAAGTACCATATAACTTGCGATATTAATGCTGTAGTAGTTTTGGATGCACTAATCCCCTCTCAGAGCCTGAACAGTCATCGATAGGCTCCAAAACCTCATTCTGAAGCCCTTGCTTTACCCTAGGGCTCCAAGTATACAAACAGTACCTACTTTGGGGTCTAAAGTCTGTAAATAGTACCTGCATTCCCCAGGGTTAAGCCTGAAACCTAGGGTTTAGGGGTTTAGGGTTTAGGGTTTAGGGGTTTAGGGGTTTAGGGTTTAGGGTTTGGCAGTCCTAAACCCTGAAGTCTGTTTGTTTATAATCATCGCATAGTGCCTGAGTTAAGAAGAAATGCTTTCACGGACACCAGGTTTCCGGGTTTCCCCCTTAGCTCTTTGTGTCTGGTTTAGGGTTCAGGGTTTAGGGGTTTTAGGGTCTAGGGTTTAGGGTTCAGGGTTTGGGATTTAGGGTTTAGGGTTTAGGGGTCTGGTCGCGTGGTTCACCGAAAGCTGTCAAATATAGGGGGTATTAGGGGGCTCAATACTCACTACACTATTTTCGGGGTTCCTGATCGTAATTTTGGTATAATGGCCCCCCAAAACCCTATTCTAATTATTAAGCCCCCTACGTTAAGCTTCGCATGGCGATGAATCGCATCGGAGTTGGGGGGGTGGGGGGGAGGTCCTTCAATCCTACCAAGCCTGGAGTTCCAGGGATGGGTGGTGACGTAAAACAGGGGCCTCAATAATTAGAATAGGGCTCTTGGGGGTAGATTATACTATAATCATCATAAGGAAAGCCCTTATAAGAATAAGAATAGGGCTCTTGGGGGCAGATTATACTATAACCATAATAAGGAACGCCCAAAAACCCTATTCTGACTATTTTGGTGACGTAAAAGCTTCAACTTACGGCTCAAGGATCCACCAGAAACGAACCCAAAGGGGTCCAAGTAATGGTATAATATGGAGGCCTCAATAATTAGAACAGGGTTTTGGTGGCTCCTTATCATTAATTATAGTATACTATACCCCAAAATCCTGTTTTAATTATACAGGCCCTTACATTCAGGTGTATTTTCCGGGCCGAAGTATCTAATAATTCAATAGGTACCTTGGACCCCCGGGTGACCCACGTCACAGGTTCTAGCATGCCGCCGCGGCGATCGCACCTATTCCGCGTCGTTGCAGCTGAGCTGCATGGCCATTTTCGGGTTTAGGGTCTATAGGGTTTAGGGTTTAGAGTTTAGGGGTTTAGGGGTTTAGGGTTTAGGGTTTGGGGGCTATGTGAACTCCACTACCCGCTTATTTCAGGGCTGTTGCATGTATGGGGCTACAAGACATGGCTGACGATACTACTTCCACACATCTGCAGTTTCGTAAGGTGTAACAACAGTCTGAGGCGAGAGCATCGTAAGAGCCTCAACCCAACTAAGCTGCAGTAAAGATTCTCGACTGCTTTGAGGTGGCGTCACCAGGCCTCTAAATCCTCAACCCCATAGCTGCCTCGTTACACCAGAATGCCTGCTGTTGCTGTGGCTGCATCAGCTGTGTCAGAATATCACTTCTAGCATTGATCGCAGGCTTTTGGGTTCTTATTTGGTAGGGAACGCTTAACATGCAGCCTAGACCTTTGAGACCTTAGGCCCCCTAAACCCTAAACCGTAAGCGCTAAGCCCTACACCCGAAACCCGAATCCTAAACTCCATATACCCTACAGAGCCTAAAACCCTAAAGCCTGAACCCTAACCCATAAAACCTAAACGCCTTACCCCTACAGCCCGAAACCCGAATCCCTAGAACCCTAAACCCCACCAATGCAGGCAGATCGGAGGCGTTGCATCAGGCCGGGATGTTGTGTAAGGGTAGGGAAGTGTCTATGCAGGGTTTAGGTTTTAGGGTTCCTGGGTTGAGGGTTTAGGGATCCTTTACAGAATACTTTGAGGCTTGATTCAGAGGGGTTCCACAAGGGTTCCTTTGAACGTCTGATGAAGGGATATGAACCCTTCACCCTGAACCCATGATAAGGTGTTGCAAAGGGCTCTCTCTTCAGGGCCTATACTCTTGGGTTTAGGGTTTAGGGGTTTAGGGTTTAGGGTTTAGGGTTTAGGGATACTCTTGAAGGGTTTACTAGAAGGGTGTTATAAAGCGGAGCAGAAGGGCGTCAGTGCTTGAAGGTTTACAAGGCGGGGCTGTAAGGTTTTGTGTTGGGATTCTAAGTGGAATGTCGAATACTAGGACCCTCCTTGTACCTTCAAAGAGGTGTATATGGTCCCAAGTAATGCGCATTTCGGGTCCAACATGGTAGATGGAGGGTCTAGGTAGTTTTCCAAATTTGTCCAGGTTACTGTGGGTGCACGAGGCTGGTAAATGTGTATGTCGGCTCCTATGGGGTTCTGTATCGGTTTCTCGGATGTGCAAAGATGTGGTCCGGTTTAGGGTATAGCTGTGGCTTCAATCAGCTCCCCGATGCCCTAAACCCTAAAACCCTAAAGCCCTAAACCCTAAACCCTAAACCCTAATGAAACCTAAAACCCTAAACTAAATGATGGTTCCAGGGCTAGCTACCTGCGACCTTAAATCCAACGCCCCCAAAGCCCTAGGCACTAAACCGTCTGGGAGTCCTCGAGACTCGGGGCCTCTAGCTGGGTTCCTCAAATTCAGATGTGGAGAGCTGCCTGAATAGAATGTGTGGCTGTGCCTGTTCAGAAGAGCTCCCCCAAAAAAGACAACCCAAACTCTAAACCGCAGCCCCTTTGTTTGGAAAAGATCGGAAAAAGTAGCTCCCGCTTCGCTTCGCATGCCATAAAGTCCTACACGGGTCCCTGCAACGCCCCTGCAACACCCCATCAACAGCTACAGGTCAAGTGGAGACGGCTTTGGTGGCCGAGGCGCCTGCACAGCTTTCCGCAGAGGCCTGCACGGCACACGTGGGATAGTTTTAAAAGGTTACACGGAGCCCGACAGGGTCCAGCGAATTAGGATTCGGGTTATGATAGAGTTCACGATGCGGGGCAGTCGTGTACAACGCTCTACGCCTTAAGCCCGACAAAGTGCAATTTAAGGTTTGGGGGTGTAGTCCCGGCGAGTAGGTTGGTTTAGGAGCACGGGGTTTTCGAGGGTTAGCAGCATGTGGGGTTGGAGGCACAAGGTTTATAGGCCGCTGCTAGGGTTTAGCATTGTCGCGCTTTGGTTTTGGTTCACGGGTTGACACTGGCTGTCCTAGCTTGCGGGCGGCACGCAGCAACTCGGTAACCCAACAGACAACTCTAAACCCTAAGCCAAAAAAACCTTATACACCCTAAACTCCAAACCTTATACACCCTAAACCCTAAACTGGATGAGGAATTGCGTAGAGCACTGTCTCAGGGTGTTTAGGGTGTTGGAGGTTAGGGCTAGGAGTATGTCGCATTTGTCCTTTTGTCGTGTGCATGTCGCACAAGAACGCTTGGTGGGTTACTGCCCTGATCCTTTGGTGTCTTGTACGCCAGCTAATTCGGACACTTGTTCAGGGGGCGTGTGAGGTGGTTTCTCCATGTCACCTAGATTGGGATACAGCCTCCTTCGACTCTCTATGGGACGTTGACCCGGGGTACATAGAGCGCTTGTGTACATACAGCTGTTCATATGTCGTGTTCTCAGCCCCCGTGGGCCCTTGGGCCATGCTTCAGACCGTATAGTCGGTTCACAAGACAAACCCTGAACCCCAAACCCAAAGCTAGTCAGTTCACCGGCTGCAGCCTACACCCGCAACCTACAGCTTTAAAGCCTTGCTGAACCCTGACAGGCTGAGCGTAACCTTGTGTGCTCTGAACCAGACATCCACGGTCAGCCCACCTCTCCAACCCCAAATATCTGCATACATCTTGAGACTAGTAGATTTCTCCGGTTTAGGGCTTCTGCTTCACCACTCACTGGTTTGGGTCTGCAGGTGACGCCCTGTGCCTCGAAGGAGTTTCTGAGCCTCACACCTCCCCACCCTCAGCCCCCAAAACTCCCACAAATCTTCATCGTTGAACTTATATTTCTAGAGCCAACATTATAAACTTCGGTCCCGGAGGAAGGTCTGGCTTTTTGGGTTTTAGGTTTTAGGGAATCATAATACATGCATGGCATGATGATGTTCGTTTGGGAGAAAGCGGCGCACAGGCCTCGATCATTCTGATCGCCAAGGAACGCAGATATGCAGTTCGTCGTGCCGAGCAAGTTTCGCTGCAATACTGTATTCGGCGAGTCCGCATCGCCTTTGGGGGTGGTGCTGTGGCACCTTGGTGGGCGGACCTGCTGACCAGCTTCTGTATGTGCATATGTGCATATATCATATGTTTGTATGCAGATGTGCACAGGTGGGTGGATGTATGCATCTATGCATGTATGGATGGATGTGTATGTATAGATGCATGCATGCATATGTATCTTCATGTATGTGATTTCAAGGATCCATGTATTCATTTGCCCCCTCATTTTTATAGATGAGCCTAAACCCTAAACCCTAAACCCTAAACCCTAACCCT